CTTATAACTACAATGATTTCTCTCATTGTAATCGTCATCACAGAAAATCATCAGAATCATCATGTCAACCAGGAAACTACAGTAAACTATCACAGCCTGTGGAGGCAGCCTGGACTCGGCCCTTCACTGTCTCTGTGCCAGCGAGTGGTGTATAAAGCTCCTGTAAATGTGGAGGTGTGAATCCGTTTAAAGAGCTAGTAGGCAGAGGCAAGGTGGACAGAGTTTATTACTTTCTCCAGAAAACTCAGGCGAGGAAGAGGCAGAGTCAGAACAGAACAGCTCACAGTCTCAGGCAAAGAGCAAGTCACTTGGTCCAGTCCATAGTCTTGGGTCGGTGATACAGGCAAGGTCTCGATCTCAGAATAGCAGGCACTAGAAAAGAAAAAGCTGGAGAACCTAGACAAGGCATAGAACAATCTGGCAGCTTCTCACACAGTGGTATATGCTGTTGTAAGCATGTGTGAGTAATTGAGGAGCAAGTGAAACCAATGTGGGTGATGAGATAAAGATCCTGGGAATCAGGGTGAGCTGGGGACAGGAAGTAGTACCAGAATAAGAGCATTATACAGGAAGCAGATGAGACAGAATCAGGACACTTTGTTTGGTCTATTGTCGGTATCCTAACTATGAATATGAGGATTTATTGGAGATGGTTAAAAGTGAAATTGATTTCTTGAAGCAGAGGCTTGTGGAGTTTTTGTTTGTTATTGGAACAAGTTTTTCTGTCGTCTGCTCCCCATGGCTGTGACAGAAAGGATGCGCTGTACAATATGAGACTTCAGTGGCAACACAGAAGATAGAAAACTGAAGTAAATGCAGAAACACTTCACCTCAAAAACCCTTCCTCTTTTCTGGTGTTTTATGAAGCGAGTCTACGCATCTTTCAGGCTATAGAGAGCAGTGGACAGCTGTTAAAACCAAGCCATGCATCTATCACGTACACAGCGTACAAACACATGTGTAGTTTGGTGCTTGCTGGAGACCACGGTTAAAGTGAACCCAGTATAGCTTTGGAGAGCTTGGTGCTGCGGTTAGCACTGCTTCCTCATTCTGTAGTTTGAACCTGATGGCCAACGGGGGCCTTTCTGTGAAGTCTGCATAAGATACTGTGAGATATACCTTATTTGTCCCCATGGAGAAACTTGTTCTGGACTCCTTAATATAATACCATAACAAATAGGCAACAGAGGTGTTTACACTGTGCACAATAATCATTCCACAAGAACCCGTTTTCAATTACATCTTCTTCAATCAATACAATATAACAGTGTGTGTGCGTGGTTGTTTGTCTGTGATAGACTGGTGACCTGACCAGGGTGGACCCTGCCAATGTCAGCTGGGATCAGCTGTGGATGTGGTATGTGTCACGATTTTGCTTTGCTTTCGGATTTATATTTAGTATTTATGAAATTTCACTATTTTTGAAATGTTTGTGCGTGCACCCCGTGTGTGTTGTGGTTGAGTGAGAAAAGCCCGGTGGGTTGCTCAAACACATCGCCAAGTGAGCTCTAGCCACTAGCCTGAGACCTTACCGTCCATGATGTGTGGAGGCCTGATGGGGAGAGCTCATTGGGTTCTTCAGGGTCGAGGTGGACAGCTATGGATGGTTGCAATGTTCAGAAGGCCGGAGGAAATGAACCTGCCATATTTGTTTTTTATGGAATATCTTCACTAACCTAAGACCACATTCATGCTTGGGAGCGGTCGGGAGTCAGAGCCTACACCAGCTTTGAGACACCGGCCCCTGGGCCCCTTGCTAAACACCGTTGGATATAATCTTGTTACTCTGGAGGCCATGCCAGTCTTTTTTAAAAATCTGTTAACTAAACCGTTGTTTAGATAAAATGTTGTTTGTGAAGAGAGAGCTATTGTAGGTTTTAGAGAGAGAGAGATCTATGGCTGAGAAAACAGTAATAGTTATTCTCTAAATAAATGTGATTTAACCCAAACTATCAGGATGAATGTCCTTAAACTATGATGTCATGAAACAGGCATGGATCCTGAAATAAGATAATTATTTGCAGTATTAATTTAATTATTGAAATAAAAAAAATGCATCAGCTAATATTTATTCTAAATTTAATTCATGTCATAAACAAAAAAACCTATGTAGTGAGAAACATCCGCGTTTCACTACGGTTAGGAGAAATATTTAATGTCAGACTAATAATTTTTTTAAAAAAGTATCTTTAAAAACAGTAGCAACACCACCACGACTTTTGTCAACTCTAGAAACATGATAAAAGTTAAAATGGGGATGTTGTTTCAATTAGATCTTTTCCTCTAGACTTTAACACCACTGCACAGCAGGTCAAACTCATAAGGTGTCACCAGCTTTTTGTGTACTTCACAGTGACAAATTCTACCATGTTATGTAAAATGCGTATAGCTTGGTAGATCTGCAGATATATAAAGTACTTTTTTAATTATTTAACCACTAAAAACCATTAATTACACCTTATAAACTGCTAGTAAATGGTGTCTGTCCAGAAGGTGGCACCAGATTCTCACTTGTCATTTCCTTCATCTTAATATAATTTCAGTATGTTCTTTCTGAACATGATATATTTGCTTGCTGATATGATCCAATTCACATTGTATCATGGAATACAACAACTTGAACTCTTTGTCATGTTCCTCAAACCATTCCTGAACAATGTTTGCAGTGCAACAGGGCACATTATCCTGATGAAAGAGGCCACTGCCATTAGGGAATACCATTTCCATTAAGGGGTGTACTTTGTCTGCAACAGTGTTTAGGTGGCACATGTCAAAGTAACATCCACATGAATGGTAAGGCCCACAGTTTCCACCTACCCATTGCCTGCGCTTTTGACAGTGGACTGGGGTCAGCATGGGCGCTCTAACTGGTCTGCAGCTATGTAGCCCCATACAGAGCAGCACAATGTGATGCACTGTGTGTCCTGACACCTGTCTGTCATAGCCAGCATTAAGCCTTTCAGCAACGTTGTTCTGCTGTGGGATCAGACCAGATGGCCTTCACTCCCCACATTCATCAGGGAGCCTGTTTTTTGGAGATGCTCTGGTACAGCCATCACAGTTTGGTCCATTGTAAAAGTCACTGTTTCCAAGACATCAACTTCAGGATTTGTCTAATATATCTCGCCCCTTGACAGGTGTCATTGTGACAAGATAATCAATGTTAGTCACGTCACACCTGCCAGTAGTTTTAATGTTGTGGCTAATAATCTATGCATCCATCCAGGCTGGACTACTGTAACTCTTTACTATGAGGATGCCCAGTAATCCCCTAAAATGCCTGCAGTTAATCCAAAATGCTGCAGCCAGAGTACTGACAGGAACTAGCAAGAGAGATCATATCTCTCCCATATTAGCTTCTCTCCACTGGCTCCCTGTAAAATCCAGAATATAATCTAAAATCCTTCTCCTAACATACAAAGCCCTTAATGACAAGGCTCCATCGTATCTTAAAGTCCTTGTAGAGCCTTATCATCCCAACAGATCAGATCACTTCGGGTCTACTTGTGGTTCCTAGAGTCCACAGAAGTAGAATGGGAGGCAGAGCCTTTAGCTATCAAGCTCCTCTCCTATGGAACCAGCTCCCAGTCTCAGTTCAGGAGGCGGACACCCTCTCTACCTTTAAGACTAAACTTAAGACATTCCTTTTTGATAAAGCTTACAGATAGCGCTGGCTCAGGTGACCCTGAGTCTTCCCTTAGTTATGCTGCTATAGGCCTAGGCTGCTGGGGGTCCTTCCATGATGCTCTCAGCGCCTCTCCTCTCTCCTCACTCCCCATGCATTTACTGTATATGCCACCACTACATGTCACTCACTTTATGTCTCTTCTCTCCCGTAGTGTGTCCTCTCTCTCTCTCCCTGTACCTTTCTACAGGTATCCATGGCTCCAGAGTCTACGTTTCTGATGAGCAGTCACCAGCCACATCAGCCTGCCCAGTGTTTGATTATTTGTTGTGTCTTGGTGCTTTTCTTTTCTTTTCTCTCTCCTCTTTCCACTCACCCCAACTGGGCCTGTCAGAGGGTTCTTCCATTTAAGGGAATGCGCACAAGGGAGGATTTGTTGCATTTTTCTCAGTAATAATATAAGTAAGGTCTAGACCTTACTATGTAAACTGCCCTGAGATGATTTTTTTTGTGATTTGCTGCTATGTGAATTTAATACAATTGATCAGGGAATATAAAAATGTTGGCAGTAGGTCAGTAGTTTGGCCCTTTATCCATAATAACCAGTGATTCACTGTTATTTTCAATTGCATTTAACAATGTACAGTGACAATTATAAAGTTCTATTCTATCCTAATATTTTTGTAAATGTCATCAGTTGGATAAATAAATGTCTGGGGATACATTTACATAGTCCTGTTCATCATCGCTGGGTTCTTCTTCATCTTCTTGTTCTCTGTTGTTTTGTACAATAGCAAAAGTGTCCACAGCTTCTATATAAATGTCTTCAGTAGTCATATTCTCATAATCCTCATTTTCTTCTTCTTCCATTCCTTCTACTTCCTCTCCCTGTTTTCTGTTGGTATCCAGTAGCTCTATGTTCACATAGTCCCCCTTGTCTTCATCATCATAGTTCTCCTCATTATCATCATCCTCATAATGGTTGTTGTCAGTCACTGGAACACAGACATCAGAACAACTCTGACATAAACAGATCTCTAAACTTCACACAATTCCTCATACACTCCAAAAAGCAAACAGTAAGTGTGCACTGAAAATGTGAAACAACATTTTTGTGTAATGCACTGCGTGTCTTGGTGAGCACAGACTTGGAGTTTGGACGTGGGCTTCAGGCTGCTTGGCTCTTCGTCTTCTCGTGCAGAAGAGCCAGACCACCAACAAGACCAGCAGGAGCAGCAACAGACACCCGCCAGCTACTGAGGAGACCAGATGCGACAGAGGCACTACGAGGAAAAACATTTGAGGGATTATCCTTAAAAACATCCATTATGCCAGGTCTGCTATAAACAAAGTCATGAAGCAGATGAATTAGTAACAACTGAGTCCTGTACGTATATTTCCTCTGCCGAGCTATTTGCATTTCCTGTTTTCAGAGTTACCACAGATAAACAAACCATAATCACCACATCATCATGATCATTAAGCATCAAAGTAGGCAGTGCTGTTTTCAGCAGGGTGTGTATGATGTCTGTGCCCAATGTATCCATAAGAACTACATCCCTTTTAGATGATTTTGCCACTTGGTTTTACAGGTAGTATCATTTGTTAAATGGAGATCAGATGATTGTGGGATAGGTACATTTATCCCTGTAGGGCCCAACTTTTGGTCTGTCATTATCATTTTAACATCTCTACCATGAAGACAGAGAAACACTTCAAGTAATTCCACGATAAACTGATTGAAAAGCACTGATGATGCAAATGTTCTTTACCTCAGTTGTCATGTTATGTTATAGTTTATACTGTACCTTATTCAGCTATTGTTCATAAAGCATCAATTACCTTTAACAATGACAACAATTGGTGTTGTCTCAGTGGAATTGAATCTCCGTGCAGACAATGTGACTTCGTACACACAGCTGTAGCTGCCCTGGTGTTCATACTCTGCTACAGGGAAGTCAAAGGAGGCTGAGTGGTTGACTGATGACTTGTTGATGTTGGAGCCAGAGAAGATGAGAAAGAAACGGCCTTCAGGATAGCTGCAGTTTATGGAGCAGGTGATGACAAAGCTGTAACCCCTGGTGACCTCTGCAGGACTCAGGACCAGCCCTCCATTAGAAGACGTCAGGGAGATGCTGGGCTGTGGCAGTCTCACTGGGTAACAAAAAGAAAACAGTGTAAGCAAGGTATATACACTGCTAAAAAAGAAAAAGGAAACACTAAATCACATGTCAGATCTTGATGAACGTATTACACAAGTTGACACCCTTTACTAATGTACACTGTATAATTTCTCAGAACAAAATGGCATAAACCAAAATCATCAACTCATGGAAGGCTGTATTTAAAATCACACTGAAAATCTAAGAGAAAAATGAAAATCACAGGCTCATCCAAGCTGCGTGAATTTCATTAAGCCAACTCATAATGTGACTCTGAAGTGTGTGTGGCCCCTGTGCACCTGTGTGCACTCCCAACAACATCTGGGTCTGGGGGAATCTCCTCCCAGACCTGGTTCAGGGCATCAGTGGGTCTGTGGTGGTACTTGGTGATGCACTGATACATAATGTCCCATGGGTGCTCAATTGGATTTAGGTCAGGAGAATGTGAAGGCCAGTCAGTGACATCAGTACCATTGTCATCCAGGAAATGACTACACACTCAGGCCACTGAGGCTGGGCAATGTCCTGCACCAGGAAGAACCCAGGGGCCCCTGCACCAGCATAATGTCTGACGGTCACTCTGAGGATTTCATCCCAGTGCCTTATTACACTCCTGGTACAGCTGGCTATGACATGGAGGTCTGTGTGTCCTTCCAAGGATATGTACAGTATGAGTGCAAGTGCTTGTGAGTTGCTGTGAGCACTGAAGTTGCTGAGAAGAGGAAAGACAAAAAGAAGGAAGGAAGAGAATGATAAAAAGTGAGTGATTAAAAAAAACAAGCATGTCCGAAGTGCAGAAGTTAGTCAGAAAGTTAGTGCAAGCTGAGCATGAATGTGACAAAGCAGAAGTACTGTCTTCACACAGCAGTGAACACTGACAGGACTCGACATCAAGTGTAAAGTTCAAGTTTGTATGAAGTGTTTCCATGTAGTCAGTATATAAAGGAGAGGTCTGTGTGCTTTGTTTGATGGGGTTCAATGCTCAGTCTGTGGCAGAATGAGCTGTGACAGATAAAGAGTGGAAAGTTGTTCAACTGTTTCCAGGCCTACAGTGATTAGCCTACAGTACTTATAACTGTAACCACTGACACTGCTGATGCCACTTTCCACTGAGATATAGCAGTTCCAGTGCACTGAAATTTCTTACAGGGGCATAAG